CATTTCTTGAGGGTCTCGTGCCCTTTAGATGTGACTTTGCCATGTCTGCCTCCATCTGCAATGGAGGTCGGGGACTGCTTCTCTTGGGTCTAGTGGGGTGAAGGATGAGGGACAGTTTGAGGGCTAATGCAGTGAGAGTTGGGGCAGAGGAGGTGACAAGCTGTGGCAGGGAAGAATGGGGTAGTTCTTGGGGGGCTGGGGCATAGATGGGGGAAGGGCAGTTTGGAGACTAAGATTGAGAAAAAGGGGGCAGGGCTAGTTTGGGGCAAGGGCAGAGGTGGGGGCAGGAGGAGGAAAAGATGGTTTTAGGATTTGGGCAAAGGAATTAGAAGTTATGGATCGAGCAACACAGCTGTTAATGGGAAGAGATGTAACATACCTTACTGTTGCCCTGCTGTCCTGACCTAGCTTTACATGCCTGTAAGCACAGGGTCGATGTATCCCCTCATTTCTTCCTTACACACACACTTTTGTGGAGAATTTATCTCCTGGGATTGAAAATGTTGGGAGGACAGAGTTGATGCGGGGAGGGGAAATTGAGCAGGTGGGCAGCCAGGTTTATGTAAGGCAGACAGCCAGGGAGCAGGAGGTCTTATCTGGTGGAGCCAGTTACCCCTCCACCTGCCCTCTCCATTTAGTTTTGATGAAGGGGCTTGCGTGTCCCTTTGGATTCTTTGCACAGATAGCAGTGATTTAGCAGGGATTGAAACCAGATTGGGGATCAGAAGAGATTTGCATGTGAACTTTCCAGACACGTGGGTGGCAAGCAGGGGTGGTGCTGTGAATTGTAACCAGGCACTTTCTGTAATGAGGTCAGTGTGTTGTCATTGCCCCTTCATGACAGTTCCTTTGTGAAGAATGTAGCCAAATATTTTTTGTTGCAAGTTATCTAATTGTTGCCATGTATTTCTGTGCTCCACTGGCTGTGGCTGCTGAGTTCAAACTGGTGTTCCTAGGAGAAAGGAATAGCTAAGTATGGTGATTTGGGCTGAAGAGTGAGAAGCAGCTGTTCCAAAACTGCACCCATAGGAAGGGTTAATTTCAGCCAGGATAAAAGGGCAAAACATTCTCTGGGAAAAATCACTAGGAAAAGGCAAGATTGCTAAATGCATGAATCACAGTATGAATGAGGTCACACGTGCAGCTTCTAAGCTTCGGAAGTTGCTTGTTTGTTTCATGTGGCGGATTTTGTTGTTTTCAACCTGTGTGAACGGTTATGAAAAGATAGGAAATAATCACAACAGAGGCTCTTTATAAATCATCTATTTTTTATATTTTAGCCTTCAAAAAGATCCAAGAGTGTCCAGGAATTGTTTTGGCCCCAGAGTTCACTATGAAATTTGCCTCTTCCCTTGAATTTTGAAATCGCACCTTTGCAAAGGTGTCTTTAAATTTACTATTGATAACCCTATATTTATTACTTTCTCAGTGCCTTAAGTTCTCTCTTGAAAATTGACCCCTATGAACTATATATTTTGAGATATTGTTATTTTATGATGATTGTATTTTGTTTTTGTCCTGCAGTACAGAACTCTGAGTGCTTTGTTATCAGGGGCGCTATATATGTAAAAAAAAAAATTGCTCTGAGTTCAATAAGTCTTTGGCATCTGCTGTGTGATGTGATTCCTAGCCAGACTACTTCAGAAAGTTTTAACTTAATGCTTTTGTGATTTGTTTTGATTCTAAATAATATGTAGAGGGAAAAAAAAGAAACACTTTGAACTATGTTTAGCATTCCTGACATTGTCAGCTGGGACTGCCGAGTTCTGAGTCAGTGAAGCAATGATATTAATGTCCAGAATGAAAACTTCTTATTTTTTCTAGAGCTGCATTACACAGACATGCTCTGACAGGAGAGATAAAAGCATGGAAGTGTGTGGTTTCAGCAGTCTGACAGGGCTTTTGATTTATTTCAGAACCACTCAACACAGTAAAGAACCTCAGGGTGTATGACCCAACCACCAGCACACTCAGTGTAAGATGGGATCATGCTGAAGGAAGTCCTCGCCAGTATAAAGTATATTATGTGCCAACAACAGGTGGAGCAGAAGAAATGGTAATCATTCTTGCGGGCCTTATTAGTTGTCTCAGATAAGTTGCCATATAAACCCCTGAACAAAAATTGAGAGTGATGAGTGCCTCATCTCAATACAAGGATAGTTTATATAGATCTTGTGCAAATTCTATTCCCTGCTACATTGATGTAACTTCAGAGGAACTCTATTGAAGTCAGTTAGCCCATGACTTAATACTACCTTTTAATGTAATTTGTTAAGAAGCAAATTTTGAATGCTTCAGTGTTAGCATGTGGGAGCTACTGTATTCCACAGCAACTACCGCACTCCTTCTTCTGAAGGGAAAATATATGGGCATGAACATTGTCATAAGAGGAAGGACCAGTGGATAAAGATTCAGGAGACTTCATTTCTGTCCCCATCTCTGCTGCTGATTGTGTGACATTATTAAGTTCTGGTAACATTTTCAAAAACACCTCAGTGATTTAGATGTCTGCATCACATCATCTAAAAGGACTTAGACACTTAGAAGTCTAAATCACTTTTGAAAATCTTACCTTTCAACTCTTTGTATCTCAGTTTTCTAATTAGTAAAATAATGATAGTTCCCCTTATCCCTCTTTCAGAGAACACTGACCTATGAATGAGAGCCACTATATAAGTGCTAAACAGAATTACTGCATTAGCCTGAGATGTTTGTTACTAGTTGCTTTTACAAGTGTGTAATGTTGTTTTTTATGTGATATGAGTGTAGAACTCTACAAATAACTGAGTTGAGTAGTAACACTATAAGCCAAATCCTTGTCTTAAATGCATCCATGCGGCTTTTGGAGTTGATACCAGTGGGATTTGGCCCTAAATCCCCCACGAGTCAGGGTCAGTTCTAAGGGAATGTGTAGCATAGCAAATAACAGTGACTGCTTGGAATGGGATAAAAAGCTTAAGTACAAAGAATTTTATCAGGACCAGTTCCATCCCGTGTATCAAACTCTTTCAGGAACTAATGACCATTACAATCTTCTCCCTCTTCTGCTCCAAGTCAAGGCATACTTCTTTGACCTGCTTCCTCTAACATAAAAACATACCCAGCAGCTGGTGCACACTTAAAAATAATATACAGTCAGCAACATCAAAACCCTCCCAAAACAAAACACTCCACTGCACCCACCTTTCCCTGCCTGGGGAGAGAATGAGAGAACAAATTAGACATGATAGATTTTAGCCATGTTACTCAATGCACTGGTGGAAGGAACTCAGATAGTACAATGATGAGGGAAGTAGAAAAACCCGTGCAGAATGGAAAGGAGGGGCCAAAATTAAATTAAAAGTTAAATTAAATAATAACGTTCCCTTTAATTATTTTGCTTTTAAACTGACAAAGCACTCTTTGCATAGTTTTTGCTTAAGTTACTCTCCTCTATCCAGAGAACTATTTTGTTTCATAGTTCCACTATCCATTTAAATAGCTTTTAGGAGCAGAAGTAAGTTTTTGCAGCTGGCGTCTTGTATTTCCAACCTAGTGTCACATAATGTATGTGTGAATTAGATGGGATATGGACATTTAGCTTTACATAATCCAACCAAATGTTTATTTCTTCGTTTGAGTTTCAGTTTCACGTTTCACCTGTGTTCCAGTTTTGGAAAAAAATATTGTTACTTCCCACCTAACAGATGTCCCTAGGAAGCACATTCAGGTCCTTGACATTAGGCTGTAGCCACACATCACTTTAGAAGCCTGCTTCTGTCAAGTTGCTGAGGTGTTGCGATAGCTATGAGCTTAAGTAAAAAGAAAACATGCTTTTAAGTATTATTTGAGGTAATTACTAGGCCAGATACCTTGAGCTGGCATAAATCAGAGTAGTCCCACTGACCTCATCTGTGGACTTCTTTTTTGGATGCTTAAGAAAATGTAAAACTGTTTAAACTGACATCTGCAGAGAGAGTCATATTCGAAATGCTCAGTTGTTTCACTCTTTATTTAAATACCACACCACGTTTTTAAACCTACAGACAACAGTACCAGGAAACACAAATTATATCATCCTGAGATCTCTCCAGCCTGACACACCTTATAGGGTAACTGTGGTTCCAGCTTACCCGGAAGGGGATGGTGGACGAGTATCTGACATTGGGAGAACTTGTAAGTGAAGTGGTTTTATTCGTATCATCTCAGGCTTTATATATAAATAATTTAAAATTATAGATGTTGTAATAGTCCTACTTTACTTTTCATCTCCTGTGCACATTTCCTGCTCCTGAGTTAGTGGCAGAGCAGATACATAAGAATGATATTCATGTGTGTCATTGAGTTAGTGATGATTGATTTTCACAGTATACCCAGTCTTCATTGCTCTCTAGTAAGGCAGGCTCTCGGTCTTCTTTTGCTGACAGGAAGGGTATTCCAATGATTAGGATGCTAGCCTGTGACTTGGGACACACAAGTGCAGTTCCCTGGTTCATCACTGAATTTCTGGGCACCATTGGGTAGTTCACTAGTCTCCCTTTACCTCAGCTTCTATAAAAATGGAAACAATAGCGCTTGCCTGGCTGACATGGGTATTTATGATGACGATAAATACCTTAAAGACTCTGAATTGCTCAGGTACTATGGTAATAAAGGCCACATAAGTATCTTAGATAGATGAGCGCCTTTTTGTGCTACTAGAGTTATTCTTGTGTACATATCTCTGTAACACTAATTTACTTTCTCTTTGGCTTAGTGGTGAGAGGAACGGCAAGAAACATGCAAGTTTACAACCCTACACCGAACACCCTAAATGTCCGATGGGAACCTGCACCCGGCCCAGTACAACAGTATCGAGTAGTCTACGCTCCACTGGTTGGCCCACGGCCATCAGAATCTGTAAGTTATTCAGCCTCCCAAGCATTCCTTAAAGGAACACTGACAGTGTCACCTCCAGTGATTACTGGCTCCTAGTAAAAAAACAGTTGTAACCAGAATGTGAGCAGATTCTCCTCAGCAGAAAGCCCAGGGGTCTCCCTTACATGATCTGCACCATGCTCCTGCCCACATACTCTTCTCCTGCATATAGCTCCACACAGTATCCCACCTCTGCTGCACCCAGCCTTGAGATCTCATTCAGTGTTGCTGCATTCAGATTCATGCTCACTACCTGGCGCCCTACCTTATACACATGCCCCTCTTGTTGTCTCCCACATCTCCCCGTGCTCTTCTTCAGTATCTCTGCTCACTCAGTTCTTACCCAGAGGGGTGGTCAGAGTGAAAACATCATCCCCACAGAGGCCAGGCAATTCTGGAGCCGCTAGACCCAATCCTCCTGCTGCATCTCTGCTTCTCCTAGAAGTACCAAAAGCCTGGATTCAATCTTCCACCCCTCCTGGACATTTCTTATGTCCTCTACTTCACTTTCCCCTGGGGCGGGGTTGCCCAGGGCCCATGGGCACTGGAAAGACTGCAAAGATGAAGGGGCCAAGCAGGTTCATGGTTTGCAGTTCCACTCCTATTTGGCAGGTCCTCATGATGGAAAGGCAGCCAGGGCAAATGTTCAGCTCTGGTCAAGAAACAAGAGGTCTGTGTCAACTGGTAGCTGCTTCTTTGGCGCCCTTATTGCACCCCTGATTGTAACCATCTGCATGCAGCAGCTCTGCTGAAAACCCCATTTCCATATGAATATAATGTACTGCATGACTGCACCATTCTGTGGTGTAAAAGAATAAAAGCTCCACCCATTTCTCATTTGCTATTCAGAATCCTTTATTGTATTGCCAACAAAAGGCAATTAAAAATTGCAATACTGATTCTGAAACATATAGAATACAAAGCAAAGACTATGGAAAGAATGGCTTTAGGGCACTCTTGGGATGTAAAATTAGGACTTGATGAATGCTTTGATTTAGATTAGAAGTTTTAGGGTTATCTGGGCCCTTTTATTTGCAGACAGTCAGCCCCTCTGGATACAAACACATGCATTATGAACATTCCAGTGTCTCTGTGAATGTGTTACAATTTGTAATGTATTGTTTGCATCTGTCAAGAGTGGGTGCTTATAACTGCACACACATGTGACACCTAATAGAGGACCGTTAGAAAATGTATCCTTAGCATATGTCAGTAAACCACAATGGAGCAATATTTTGCTCTGGATTTCTGCAGGTCTTAATCTTTACTAGTTGCAATATTTTCATGTAGATTCTGTCCAAATAATGTACACTAATTATTAAACTATCAGCATTTTAGAAAAAGAAGTCATTTTGCGGAATGAGAACACCTATATTTTATTGCCAGTTAGTTGTGTCTCCTACTGATGAGCTTTGTGTTAAGCAAGCAGATTCCTATAACCATGCATTTCTGTAGTTGGAAAATACACAACAGGATCAGGCTACTAAATTTCCTCCTTTCAATATAAATGACTGATAATTCATTTGGATAATAATAATTTTACAAGGCATTATCCGTATAGGCATGAGTATGGACCTGTCAGATAAAACTCATTTTTCCCTCCTAGATTATAGTTCCAGCGAATACTCGCGATGTTGTGCTGGAGCGCCTGATTCCCGACACGCCTTACTCTGTGAATGTTGTTGCTCTGTATGCTGATGGAGAGGGAAATTCAAGCCCTGGACAGGGGAGAACAAGTAAGAGGCAAAATTATGTTTCTTTACTGCTATTTAGTGTCTCTATTTGCTGCTTATATAAGTGAGGGATTGATAACACTGACTACAAACGTCATGTTCACTTCCCAATGTAGCTCTCCCAATTCACCCGAATAATGGCATTTTAAAAATTTTAGATCTTCCTTGAACAACAGCTGCCAATTTGGTCAGATTATCTGTTGATTGCAATGCAGGTGAAGTTTTACTAGTAGGGACTAGACCAGACTGATACCACTTATGATGGAAACTTAAATTGAACCTAGGTCTTTTAGTAGTAAAAAAATCCTTTAATTACAGCTATACTCCTATCTCTCTGTCTCTCCAAAACAAAGCACACATTAAAATGGACAGTTTGCTGCCAAAATGGAGGCACGATTTCAGTTTAAATTCGGAGATTTGTCTGCCACAATAATCCCTTGAGTGCAGTCCTGGACTGGATTTAGAAGTAGGTGACCCAGATGACCTGGGCCGGCATGCTCTTTTTGGTGTTAGTGACAAAAGGAACATGTTTGAAGTACCATGTTTAAGGTATTACATATGTGGAATCATTTTTCACTAACCGTCTAGAATGTTCTGGATCTTTGTCAAATCTCATGGAACATTCCAGACTTTCAAGAATTACCTTTTCCTCAAACCTCCTAGAATGTTGTCAGCCATGCCCTCATGAGTATATTAGGGTCTGGGTGTCACTAGTTATCAATGAAATATGAATACATATTTACAGATCCTATCATGCAAGTTTCTTGTCTTATTCATCAGGGATAAATCAGGTATGCAAATTGTGCATCTGAGCTGTGAACGGGGCTACAAATGCAATAAAAAAAAGGTATTCCAAAGTTAACAATGGGAGGGAAGGGTGCTGAATACGTTCCTTTCCTGTAGCGCCATTTGGTCTAACTCTGGCCCTGGTACAACCCATTGTAGGCAGCCCAAAGACACCACCCTTGCCCACATTACCTGAAACAACAAAAGTTGTCTGGTATTACCTAGTGAGCTGAGAGCACAACGCCTTCTGTGAGAGGGTGGATGGTAGGGAAGCCCCAGATGAATAAACCTGCAGTGAACCTGCCTTATTTCAGCCTCATACATGTAACTACATGGGATCAGCATGAGAGGAGCTCACCTGTGGCTGCAACATGCTCTTCACTCTTACTCTTTTTTCTACCATTTGCCCAGATTTATATGAAATCTGCAAAGGTGACAGTCTGTCAATTATCTTCCCTGCCTTTGGGCATTGACTGTGTATGGATGTGGGTGCTCATATTGCAAGATACTGTTATTGTCTTTCCCTCCTTTCCACAGGGTCAGAACTCTTGTCAGTTAGGCCCCACTCCTGTTGTGATCTCTGGGCAATATCATGATATTATCACCTTAATGTGTACACATGCATGCGGCAGTCAATGGGAGCCCTTGGCGTGCACTCCAGGGCAGCATCTGAACACTAACAGTTCTAGGGTATCTTAGGGTACATCTAGACTACAGGCTTTTGTCCACAGTCTTTGTCGACAGATACTGTCACAAAGTCTCTGTCGAAAAAGAGCGCCTAGACTACAGCCAGTTCTGTTGACAAAGCAAGCCGCTTTTTCGACAGAGAGTCTAGACGTTCTCTTTTGAAAAAGCACAGTGTGGATGCAATAGAGCCTTTTTTCGACATAACTCTGTCAAAAAAGGCGTTATTCCTTGTAGAATGAGGTATACCACTGTTGACAAAACTGCCGCGTTCTGTCGATGTTATGTCGGCAAAACTCAGCAGTAGTGTAGATGCAGGTATAGTTTTGTCGACAAAAGTCCACTTTTGTCAACAAAATCCTGTAGTCTAGACACACTCATAAAGCGAAAGGACTTTTGTCTTCACTGCACTTCACTGATCTTGATACATATTTCCCCTTTAGCACCTCGTAGTGGGCCAAGGAACTTGAAGGTGTTTGATCCAACAACAAACAGCCTTTCTGTACAATGGGACCATGCTGATGGGCCAGTTCAGCAATACAGAATCATTTATTCACCTACCGTTGGTGACCCCATAGATGAATATGTAAGTGCAGTCATTTGCTAATAAGCATTTAAATATCCTGTGCTGATATTAGAGAAAAATAAAAATATCTGATATTTGGATGTTGTATATTTTGGTTGCTTCAGAGTTGAATTGTTTGGGCATTATTGTATAGGGTGATGGTAAGTGGCACACTTAAGCAGCTGGATCTCAGTCTTTTTGTGAAATAGTCCATTCCACAGAGTACAGGCTGGATCTCTGTAACCCGGACTTCTCTTGTCTGGCAACATCTGTGTTTCTCCATCTCTGTGGGTGCTCTTGGGCTGGCGCATTCATCAGGAAAAGCTGGGGACCCTGCACTTTGCAGCTCTCCCCCATCCTCCCAGAGCTTCCAGAGTGTCGCAGATAGCCCTTCCCTTGAGAGCTCTTCCCCAAAGTCCCTGCTCAATCCATGCTAGCCCTATTGCTGCCACTGGAGTGGAGCCCCAAAGCTGGTGGCAGCAGACGGGGCCAGCATTGACTTCTCCTGGTTTGGTAAATTCCCTGGTTCAGATCCTGTCAGATCCCAGGGGTGACAGACCCGGGAGGTACAACCTGTAGTTGTCTATGTAAATACAGAAAGGCACCAAAGCCTTGAAAACAAAGCATAAAATAGTGTTAAAGTTGAGATCAAGGAAAAGATCCTGAGATGAGCCTGTCACAGCATGCTTTGTTCAAGCCATTGTGCTCCAGTAAATAGCCATGTGTTGCTTCACATGCCATGTGGTGTTGTGCTAAGACTCCCGGTAAACACACCACCAGACAGCATTTAGGGCAGTATGTACATATTATGAACTGAGCGAAGGAAGCAGTGTGAACTTTTATTCAAATTTTATAGTTCTTGCTTTTGTGGGGGGTTGTCTGAGTTGTAAGTTTGTAGGGTTGTCAACTTTAGTTGGAAGAATTCCTACAAGTTTTATCATGACATTATCTTTAATTAAAGAATAATCTTTAATTCCTAGAGAGTTCAGGAAAATCTTTGAGAGCTGTCAGTCATAACAGTTTGTGCTTTAACTTTATGCTGCTTCACATTGAGTTCCATAGATTTGGCCTATAGAGCATCATATAACTGCCTGTCATTTATTTGTTATTGCTGAATAGGATTGGTTGAATGTTACCCATTCAGAATTATTTTTTGATGGAAAACTCTCTTTTCAGCTACATGATTTTTTTTCAAAATGTGTCTGCTTTCTGAAAAAAAAATCACTTTACATCAAAAAAATTGAACACTGAAAGTCAAGCACATACTTGTTTTCAGTCCCAAACTGAAAACATTTTGTCCAAAGACTCCAAAAAATTAAGTTAAGAAATACCACTGTGTTGCCTCATGGGACTTGTAGCTCCTGTGCTTTATGCTCTCATTCTCCTCTTTGGGACCAACTTCCAGTTGGACTAACTCTCCCATGACACTCCTGTGGTGCACCACCGTGTTGGTACAAGATGAGAGACCACAGTGTATAGCTGCAGCAGGCAGCAAATGGGGTGACAGGTTGCATAAATTAGGGAAAAATTTGAACCTCAAAAAATTATTGTTGCCATCTCATTGATTTGGAAATGTAGAATATTGTGTACAGTTTTGGTTGCCAATTTGACAAAAAAGGATTTCCAACTTCTGGGTAGATAGTGAAAAAGGGTAACAGGATTGATTAAAAGTGTGGGTAGTACTATCTGCAAAGGAAAGGTTAAAAGTGTTTAGTATGGAGGAAAAAAAGGAGACTGAAAGGGAAACTTAGTATGGCTTTTCAATTTTTAAAGGAAATATAGAAAGATCCAGGAGATAATCTGGTCCAACTACTAAACTAGGAATGTGGAAAATATGTGTTCATGAAGAGAAGCTGCAGATTATTAAGGTCTAAGCCAAATACTGGAAATAGCTCTTACTTCTCATGAGGAGTTTTTGGACAATGAAACAGTTGTGGGAGCAGATGGCACAGATTAATTTGTAAAGGAAAAATCCAGGTTTTTATTGGAAAGGTTGATTAGACAGATAACAGTATTAAAATACTAACTACTATTTGTTATTTTCGAATTTTGAATGTTAATTTTAAGAAACATGTGTGGATGGTTCACCTTTTCTATGGCTAAAGGTGGCTCTGACTTTATATTCTGTAGTCTGATATATATCTTGGCCCCAATTCATATCTGGTTTAACTGCCGTGGCTCAGTGGAGTTACACCAGGAATTAATATGGCTAATTTGTAACAGATAGCAAAATGAAGTCTTTAACTCATCCCCCTCTGCATCTCTTATCATAGCACCAACAGATGTCATTCCATAACTTCTCCTTCCCTAACCAACCTGATCTCATCTGGATTTCGGAGCGTCTCCAGGCCCAGTTCACATTTACTTTTCCCTTCTGTGTCCCTTTTCATCTTCCTTTACCCTGTTGTTCTGGCCCTGTGCTCTGGAGAAGATGACCCTTTTTATTTTTGTACTCTGCTTTTTTCTCTACTCCACACTCTTACAACATAAACAAACCAATAAGGTCATCTTCTCTTTCCCCTCCTCATGTTAGTAGCTTTGTCTTCTCTTGTTTATTCTCTCCCCAAAACACCACAACTGTAACTTGTCCTCTCTCCACATGGCTATATGTGGGGATAAATCAAACCTTTTGAATTCTGCATAGATGTAACAGACAATACTGTTAATTTTAGGCAGGTGAAATTATTCTGAAATGTTTAAACAGTGGAGTCTTTCTTTCAATACAATGGAATTCTCTATAGCAGGATTTAAAAATTCGGCTTGGCTGGGTGTTTGCACTTCTACAAATTTCACAGGGATTATTTATTTACAGTTCATTGTAATTATCGGTCAGGTAAAATATTACAGCATATTCATCTGTATTTCTCTCATGGTTTCTAGACAACAGTACCTGGAAGAAGAAATAATGTGATATTACAACCACTGCAACCCAACACACCATATAAAATTACTGTTGTGGCTGTGTATGATGATGGAGATGGTGGACAACTAACAGGAAATGGACAAACTGGTAACTTAGCTTTATCATTAAGTACTATATTGTCATTTCTCCTCATTATTTTATAGTTCTGTTGCGACAATGCCAGCGGCCCCTATCCTGTGTTGGGGACTTGTTGTTCTAGGCACAATGCAAACATATCCAAAGACATGATTTCTTCTTTAAAGAGTTTGCAGTGTATCCGTTTTCAGGCTTTAAAAGGCAGTTGCTACTGTAATAACAATTCTAATGCTTATTCTGTCTTTTCAGTTGGGTTGCTTCCTCCTCAAAACATACATATTTCAGATGAGTGGTATACACGATTCAGAGTTTCCTGGGATCCTTCACCATCCCCTGTTCTTGGGTACAAAATTGTGTATAAACCTGTAGGTAAGAAAACCTGTCTCCTTTGAATAGAGCGCTTTAAAAATGAGTAATGAGTTAAAAGAGCTGCATGCAGATATGCTTTGTATCCTCATCAAAACTGAGAAACTTTGCTTTAAAGTGTTTTATGTATGTATGTATGTATTTATATTTGTGTGTTTATTGATTTTTAAAGGAGTAAGAAGTTTTCCTGTTAACTACAGGGTTTCAAAAGAAAGAGAGAACACCAGATATAATGTCATACATATTATAATTCAGTTAAATGTGCTGTATGTTTGACATTTAATACAGCTATTTTATCTCCTGTCCCAAGCCTGTTCTCTTCTCATATGCCAATTTTACACTTTTACGCTTCTCATCTTTCAGCGGAGCGGCTCCAATTTATATCGGTGTGTGATCAGAATCAGGCTTGCATTTTGAATGAAAGACAATCCTTAAATGCTTTATCGGACATGAGAATGAATCTTATATTTGCATGCCTCTCTGGAAATTAAGTATAAATGTGCACAGCAGCTAGTAAAGATACAAGTAATCTATTTGTAATGATAGTGCTTACCAAAAGTAATAGGGTTAAGAAATAAAAAAACAAGGACCAAGTTTTGGGGAAGATTGGCATTTAAAGAGCTACATCAGTGTGGCTGTGCCACTGTAGCACTGCAGCGAAAACACTGTTCTTCATCTTGGTGAGAGCAGTAGCTGTGTTCATTGGAAAAGCCCAGCCATTGACATAATGCTGTATACACTGGGAGTTAGGTTGATATAACTCTGGGGTGTGGATTGTTCACGCCCTTGAGTGATGTAGTTAGACTGATCTAAGTTTATAGTGTAGATCTGGCCTTAGAGGTTGATCTAGAAGAATACTGGTAATGCCAGAGAGGAAGGTTCACAGAATTGTGTCTTTATCTGTGGTTCCCTTTAATTCAAGGTTCTAATGAGCCAATGGAGGTGTTTGTTGGGGAAGTGACTTCATACATATTGCACAACCTGTCTCCTAGTACTGTCTATGATGTGAATGTTTATGCCCAATATGATTCTGGACTCAGCGCACCCTTGATTGATCAAGGAGCTACATGTAAGTCTAAACCATTGTTATTGTAGTCACACTGGTGATAATTGTTGAAGTAATCTCATGTTGACTGAAAAGTCCCTATTTAGGTTATTGATCCTTGGGTGGTCTGAACATCCCACAATTATGGATACTCACACCTGTGAGTAACAGATCCTCAAGTAAAATTAAGCTTAGAAAGCCAGGTGATTTAACATTGCTGTTACTAATGGTTTACAGTAGACAGCCATCTAGTTCCATTTCTTATCATTTGTTTGGCTGGAGCTGGGTCGGAGACAGCAGGTGTTCAGCACCAGTCACAGCCATTGGCTAGATGGTGCTCGGTACATTGCAGGGCGCATTCAGCACCATGCAACGTAAGGGCGCTCACTGCTTCTGATTGCATGTCCTGGTAACATCCAGTGATTGCACAGTCCATCAAAGCTGAACCTGGTTCATGGGGAATTGGTTTGTTGCAGAACTCAGTTAATGAGCCATTCAAGATTTCAGCAAAATTGGATGAGTTGTAAAATCCTCATGTTGTTAAGTGGTCCCATTAAAAGTTCTTGGCAGAACCAGTAAGTAAATACATAAAAGACAGCAGTGCCTCTTTGTTATATATCTTTATACATGGTTCTGTTGATTTCAGTGGGACAGCCCAGAGAATCAGACAGTACTTCGCGTAATAATAGGTATCAAAATCTGGGTATTTATAAGTAGCAGAGGTGAGATCTGTGGATCCAGACAAAAAGAACAGAGATGATTTGACTAGAACCACTTTTTTTCTTCTGTGGATATTTTTTAAATAAAACCACATGTGGGCAGAATTTACTGCTGCAGTGATATATGGGTCAGTGCTACTGTCATTGTTGTTCTCTGCAATCTGGTTAATTTTATATCTCATGTATTGTATTTCCCAGATAATCAATTGAAAACTTCCTGTTTTTGCAGTATATTTGAATGTCACAGATCTGACAAGTTACAAGGTGGGCTGGGATACCTTCTGTATCCGATGGTCTCCTCACCGGTCAGCAAGCTCCTACAGATTAAAGCTAAATCCAGCTGATGGTAAGTTCCATTGATTCTTTGTGTTTTCTGTGGACAGATACATTTGTCAGCTTTATGTCATGACTAAATTAAGGATTATAACATGACAGGCTTAGGGCCATAGTTTTCAATAGTTTCAACTTCAGCGCCTGTCCCCAGGAGCCAAGCTGTGCTGGTAGAGCTCCCCAGGCCTGCAACCAGCCTGCATTGCTAAGAGGAGACAGACTGGAAATTAATGCTGCTCCTATTCATATTAATTCCTTCTAGGACTTCCCAGTGGAAATCGTCTGCTCACCGGGGTTATGAGTGCATTCCATGGAGAGCAGCTGCTCTCTGTCTCTTCCTCATCACATCCTGACATCTCCCCAATATGCGGATCCCCCACCACAAAGTGTTGCTGCCCAGAGTCTTCTGTATGACCAACCAGCAGAATTGTCACTCATCCCATTTCAGCACCCTTCCTCCATGCATTCTCTTTTGCTTGTCCCAGACACATATGGAAAAGGAAATACTTGGCCAGAGTTGTAACTGGCTAATTTGGCTCCTGAGGCAAGACCTCAGGGTTAGGGTGAACATAAGAATGGCCGTACTGGGTCAGACCAAGGGTCCATCTAGCCCAGTAGCCTGTCTGCCGACAGTGGCCAGCACCAGGGCAGCAACACTTTGTGGTGGGGGATCCGCATATTGGGGAAATGTCAGGATGTGACGAGGAAGAGACCGAGAGCAGCTGCTCTCCATGGAATGTACTCATAACCCCGGTGAGCAGAGAGGGTGGACTGAAAACAATGATCAGCAAATTGTCTCCTGCCATCCTTTTCCAGCCTCTGACAAATAGAGGCCAGGGACACCACTTCTATCCCCTGGATAAAAGCCTTTTATGGACCTAACCTCCATTAAATTATCTAGCTTCTCTTTAAACTCTGTTATAGTCCTAGCCTTCACAGCCTCCTCTGGCAAGGAGTTCCACAGGTTGACTGCACGCTGTGTGAAGAAGAACTTTCTTTTATTAGTTCTAAACCTGCTACCCATTAATTTCATTTGATGTCCTCTAGGGTATGTCTACACTAACACCCTAAATAACTTTTCTTTATCCGCCCTCTCCACACCACTCATGATTTTAT